GGGGGGGGGGGGGGGGTGTTAAGGGCGCCAAAACATGGTTTCGCCCAGGGCGCAAAAATTTCTTGCGCCGGCCCTGCCTATGCTATGATTTGAAAATTTAGTACAAGATTACTGGAAAATCACATTTAATTTCTATGAGAATTTGATGTGTTCAAACTTTTAGGACATTAGATGTTTACTGGATTTCTTGTGGAGCGATATTCTTATTTTGTTGTAGGTAGTTCAAAAACGAATAATCGTAAATACTTCAAGTTTACTATAACTAAACAGACCAAACGCTGGAATCTGGATCATGGCGTTTGCAATGTTTGCCAAAGGATTGGTGATTGGGGTACTTGTCCCGAAATTTCATGCGAACATTTACAGCTTCRTTTATATTTAAACGGTTAAAGTGGTTAAACGACAAACAGACAGTTCGAATTTCTCCGTTTTCAAACGTTTCAAACCATGAWATATAGAATTTCATCAATGGTATCTACTATCTTGTGTATGGTTATATCATAGAACAGTAAGTAAATATTTTTATATATCTATGGTTATATCACGGTAGATTATAATCTACCGTGGTTATCACGGTTTAAGCTTAAACCTTTAACCTTAAACCGTGGTGGTTATATTATTGTTCAGTGGTTATAGATAAGGAAATCGAATAGATATTAGATAAGAACATGATTAAACAATTAAACTATTATATTGTTCTGTGTATATACTCACGGTTGTAGATAGTGTATTGTAATTGTAAATTATACACAATTGTCTATAATACATTAATACAGTATATTTGGCACTTGGATAAAATATAAACACACAACACAAATCATTCCAATAAAAATATTTGTAAAGTTTTTTTTAACCAATTGTATTGTATATAAATATTTTTACTCTAGTCCAAATTTCTCTCAAGGTTAAAAATAAAATGTATGATGTTTATGCTGTAATTGGTGTTAATGGTTAGATTGATAAATATTAAGCAGGGATCAATATTGTAGCTTCAAGACTGATTTTTTGTCACAACTTATTAGTAATAATGGAAATCGATGACCATCAAAATATTCCATGTACTATTTTAAAGGAATATCATGACAGTATTGTTCAAGACATTCAAGGAGATATGATCATTGCTTTATTTGAAAGACAGGTGTTAACAGAAAATGAATTTTACAATATTAAATCTGAGGTAAGAAATTTTATAGTAAAGTAATGCCATTGTTTTCAAATTTAACACAACTATTTATATACATGATTGTGTTGTATAATGACTGAGAACTATTTCCTACTCTCTTTTTAATTTTATTTATTATTTTGAGTGTAATTCTATTTCTAACATATTTGTAGCCTCTACTCAATCTACTTATAATAAGACTCATAATAAGGATCTCTAACTAAGAYAAGCTAGTTCTCCTCTCTAAAGCCCTTACAGAGTTAATGATAATCGTGTAKTAGCCTACTGTACGTACCAGCAAATATGACATACCTACCTGTCATACTTACTCTTATATATGTTATATTTTTACTAGGGTAAACTATCTGTGATTTAAATTATTAAAATAAACAACATATTATAAGTGTCATACAATACTATAATAGCTAAATGGTCATTGTGATATCTGGTAAATGTTCAACCCACAATAACTTATTTTTAATATTACCTATATAATTTTAATTTGTGTCCTTCCACCAAACAAAAGATTTGTTAGATCATCAACTAAGGCCCGTTTCACATGGACGGGTATCATACACGACATATTGTGTGTGTGCGTTTTTAGTTTACATGGATTAAATTCATATGCTTCATTCTGGCATAGGAAACTTTGTGATTATCGAAGTAGAGCATATAAATTTAACTTATGTTACTGAAAACAGATTATAATTTGTTTAACCAAGTAGGTAGTACCCATTCCTATTTGTTTGAAGTATTGCCTGAAATTCCTCTCGGCTTAGTTTTCTTTTATTCTGTATATTATTTATCAATTACATTTTTGTTCATTTAAAAAAGGTAAAAATCTTATTGTGCAAATGCAATATGTTTTCATCGTTAAAGATTTTAGGATATACTACTTTTTCTCTTTTTTCTTTGAACATAACATTAACTTAGCCRTAAATAGAGTACTAAAAGTTTTATAATTTATTAAACATATCTAACACTAAAAGTTTCAAATCTGCCCATTGTCTCCATATTTTATACTTTTTACTTTTTAATCATCTCTTGAATGCAGTTCAGTTGTTTGGCAGATCATTTTTGACAAATTTTGCTTCTAATCTTTTCAAAATAAATTCTTTGTTTATGATTTATTCTCAATACCTTATTCACCCACCACTTTTACTATCCTATCCATAAAATCTCCACATACAAACTCCTCTATTCTTGCAACACTTTGAAAACTAACTAATAATTCATGAATTCCCTYATAAATTGGTCCAGATCTTCTTGACTACTCAATAKATTCTTCTTTAGAATATTGCAACCCAATTATATTTTCTATCCTCAGTGATACCACCTCATGCAGACGTAACCACCCATTACACTGTTTTTTTTTTTATATTTATAAGATTTTTAAAATTGTTATTTCGTAATTAAAATCTATAATTTTAGTTTAAATTAAAATTGTATTTTTTCCTCCTTGTAACTATCATTTGGCATATTATAATATATTCAATATTATCATTAATAAATAACTTGTCAATTGTTTTATTTTAGAGAAACCGTGAGAAAGAAGCAAGTCGTTTGCTTGAACTATTACCATCAAAAGGTAGGAATGGTATCAATCAGTTCCTAAACCATTTGTCAACACATTATTCATGGATAGCTAATCTCTTACAACATTCCATAACAATTAAATATAATGTTATGTTTTCAAAAAAAATACAGGAGACTTTAATTGCTGGTGAAGTTCCTCAATTATCATCAAGACATGTATCACGAGTTAACCATGTATGTATTATAAACACACTAGGTAATGTTAATTTTTATATTTTTTATTGTATAATTTTTATATTAGGTTACAACATTAAAAAGACTATTAACAGAGTTAGAAGTAAATAATTTTGTTATTGTAAATGGTATGACTGGTTGTGGAAAATCTAGTCTAGTTGTTGAAGTGTTAAATGAYCCCTTCATTACAATGCAATACTTACAGGTATATATATTTATAAATTTTATAAATTTATTTGTTTAACAGTTAATTTTAAATTGTAATTATTAGTATACATTGTCTTATAAAAAATCAATTTGGTATAGTAATTTTATAAGCAAGAAGAGTTAGGTGAGTAAAGTTCTATTCTTTTTAAAAACAACAAAATAAATACATAATGGTTCAGGACACCAAATGTTTTGATCATGGATTCCTTTTGTTGCTAATACAATCAATAGAACCACAAAAAACTATGAATGTAAATTCTAAACACATTCAAAAAGTTTTTAATGTTAATTTAATTAAAATGTATTTACTGAGCCCCTTAGATCACTTTCAGCGCACAGAGTACAGTTTGAAAATCCTTGATTTTGGCCATGAATTTATACAGATTGTCTGTATTTCTTTATTGTAATTTTTCATGAAATAATATTTATATTTTGTTATTGATTGTTTTAAGTAAAACCATTTGTTCAACAATTTGTAATAGATCAAAGCTTATAATTTTTGAATAATGTTCAATTTGTATAAATATTTAAGAAAACGCTACCTATTGATTAAGAATTACAACTACTCATTGTCATGTACTAATTATTTTTATTTGTTTCATTTGCTGTAGGGATTTGTGCAATGGATAAATGTTGGACGAGAAAATTCATCACATCCTGAACGTATTCAAACAGAAATATTAAATAGATTAAATAATCAAGAACAGCTTATTACACCTCCTCTAATTATAGATTATGAGGATACAAGGACAAATATCCAAAATTTGTAAGTAAAGTACAAAATTCATTAATCTTATATTGAAAATACTTAGTATTGCTACCTGTTTCACTAAAACTTAACTTTCATGTTTTTGCTCAAAATTTATAATGTAACAAGTTTTTGTTATGAAAAAAATCGTATTATTATAAATTTTTTAAAATATTTTAATCAGGCTTGTACTTAGARTTTTACTTTGCTGGGTTGGAGGCTGATGAAAAAATAAAAATATGATAATACAATCAGTATTGGTATTATTATTAAGTGATCAACTATTAAATTTGTAGTTATAGTTAAAAGTGGATCTCTTTTTGCAGTATACGAGGTGCCATGTGGTGAGTCACTGTAAATTGTAATGGATGTGTTAAATTAAAATTAAATGATTCATATAAGATCATTGGATTCAAAATAAATGATTCAAAATAAGACTATAAGGCCATATCAAGAAAAATATATTTTATGATATTATTGCGATTATTATTAAAGTCATTTATTTTTTACTTAGTWTAACAGTAGGTTGAATTAATTTTTACCAAAAGAATTGCATTATGTTTATAAAATAAAATGATATAGTWTAAGAGTTTCAAGTACCCATGAAAATTATTTTTAAATTATAACAAAAGATAATTTAAATTGTTATTTTTTGCTAAGATATTCTACAAATTTGGAGTTAAAATATCAATTATTTTATATTATTACTTATAACAGCATGACAAACTCATGTGTGTACTACATAAAATGGCAAAATTTCTACAGCTACACTCTACACTTTTTTGTAGATATATTTGTTTATTCAGATAAAATAAGAGTAGTTGGTCAGGTAAAAAAACATTTGATYAAAATTATCAATTTATACAGTACCTTATACTGCAGCTTAGGCACTAGATAGGACTAGATAGGTATAAGATACTATTTTTTAATTGTGACCCTTTYGTTATTCCTAAATAAGATTAAATAATATCGGCATTACCAATATTCACCWATAACGTTTTATGAATGTCGACATTCACTAGTGAACATTTACTAAAATCACAAATTTAATCAATAAGCAAACATTCACTAATGATTTTGGACTTTTGGTGTACAATGACATTAACCGGTGACTGTCAGCATTCACCAACTACGGATATTCACAGTAATATATACATTAGAAATCACTATAAAGTATAAAGTTAAATAAAGTAAATCACATTGGTTAAAGTCAGTTACTGCTAATAATGAGTTTGGTTATTACGAGTTATCTTCTATTACGAGTAAAATACATTGAATTATAAAATAAATATTCAGTTATAACGTATCGGTCATTATATTTATTATTTTTCCTATTATCTACTTTTTTACTTCTATTACTTAGGTCATTGAGCTGCTCGTTATACTGCATTTCAAAAACAAGTATTTAATTATCTAATAATTAATTTAAGTATGTATGTACAGTGTAAGTATTTTGATTCATAAAAATCGAATTTAGGGCTAGTAGTTTATGAGTTATTAGTATTTAAAGTATAGATTGGCAAAGTGGAGAGGTATAAGGTTACTCCGCAAAATGTATGTCCACTACTCCGCTTGTCTAAACTTTAAATACTTATAACTCATAAACTACTAGCTCCCTAAATCCGATTTTTRAATCAAAATACTTAGAAAAATATTATGCTTTAGAATATGAAATTAAACTCTATGTTGTCATTCAAAAAAGTAAAAAACTTATAAAATGATAAGGATAAAAAATATAAAAAAATTTTTTTTTAAATAATAATGTTGGTTTTTTAACTAGGTACTCAAAACTATGTAAAAAAATATTTTCAAAAACATTAGTAATTTTTGAAATAATGAGTGTTCTATGATAAAAGAATCACATAGTATATACATATATGTATATATATTATATATGTGTGTATAACTGTATATTTCTAAAAATAATATTCATTTATGTTTATTTATTTATTTAGATGGAAACAAAAACGATTAACAGAGGGCTTATTAATTTTGGATGATGTATGCAGTAGTAAAATAATTAAGTCCCTGGATATTGGATGTAAAATATTAATAACAACAAATGATATGAGTATTATGGATCATATAGTTGATACTCGAGTGAAATATTTAAAAGTAAATGAAGGATTTGAAGAAAAAGAGACTTTGGATTTATTTTCAAAATGTTTAAGTGTCGACTCAAAGTCTCTACCTTTACACGCGTCAAAACTCCATAGAATATGCAAAGGTATTTTTTTTAATGTACTACCTATGATTTGAATTTAATTAATTTATTTATTCAGGATTTCCATTAACTATTACACTTATTGCCACACAACTTGAAATGCACAGAGAAGATACCATTAATAATACAGATCGATGGAAATTTTATTTGAATGAGTTATCAGATAAAACTAGTGAACCTTTTAAGTAAGTAGTTTATTTTAAGATTTTTTATAACATATAACATACCTTTAATCAATAAAACTTGCTTGGCTATTATAGAGAATACTAGTTGATAATGGTAGGGCATGGAGGGGATACAACAACATTCTTTATGAAAAAAATCAGCATGTTCTCTCATGAAACAAAGTATAATGACTATTTTTTTTTTTTGTGAGGAAGAGAAAATTAAATATTTTTAATTGAATTTAAGCTGTTGAAGTAAAATGTTTGATCAAAGTTTAATTAAAATTAAATTATTTAAGAACATTACTTCTATTTTTCAATTTGTTATTATTATTTCAAACCAGAATAATTATAGTTTGTGTTTAATGATAGTCTATTTGTTGAGGAATAATTGGAGTAGATTCATATTATAGACGGTGTTAAATTTGAATTCAATAATATAATATCATCATATCATTCATTACACCATATTATTTAGCAAAAACTAAAAAAATTGAAAATTGAAAATATCTATAAATAGTTTAAAACAAATCAAAACTTTTTTTTAATTTAAATTTTATAGAAAATGAGAGACTAACCATTTGGTGAACGTTTTCAAGTAGCTACTATYGCTAATAAGGTTTGTTTTTGAGTTATAAGAAAATAAGAAAATCATTATCATTATAAATCATATAATATATAAGCTAAGAAATTTTCTCATGTCAGTAACATAAAAAGATTATTCAAAATATTTTGAAAATTTAATTGTGTATAAAAAATAGTAACATAAACATTCCTTGACATTTTTTGGTATTCACAGTTATTAGCTTTTTAGTTACATGAATAAACTAAATTTATATTACCAAAAACAGATTTTACTTAAAAATCTCCATTTTTTCTTAATTTTTTATTTATTTTTCTTGACGCTCTTGAAAACTATGAATTATCAAATTTTATCTCTCAAAAGTACCAACTATCTCCGCTTTCCCATCAGAAAATATATTTTCTAGTAGCAATTTTTCTGCTAGTAAAAATGTATTGACTAAAAAAAAAACTTTATTGTAAAATCAATCATAAAATTATAAAATAATCCCTCCTCTCAGAATATAAAAAAAATAATACACTAATTATCTCTTTTATAAAATAATTAGCATAGTTTTACTATAGATATATAACTATTACATTTTTATTTAACCTTATTGTTAATATAATATTGACATATCGTTAGACTTAACTCGTAACAGTATAAGTATTTATATTTTTTATAGATATACACCGCATAGCCAAAATCAATTTAAGAGTCTTGAAAAAGCAATAGAAATGTGTATAAAAAATTTACCAAGTGATTTACAAAAGAAATATCAAGATTTTTCTTTATTTGTAGAAGATTTAAATATCAAACCAGAAGTAATGTAGAATTTAAAACATAATTTTATAGAAAGGAATTGCATCATATTTTTATATTTATATTTTAGGTTTTATCCATACTATGGAATATTAAACCAATCCAAGTTGAAGATATTATGTCAGAATTAATGCGAAAGAGTTTAGTGGTTAGAGTTTGGAATCAACCTTTAAATAGTTATGTTTATTCAATACATGATTTGCTCTTAAATAATTTAAAAAAAATGATTAATCGGCAGGAATATAAAGTAAAGCTCAAAATTTTAGGTATTAAGTTAATTTTCTATAACTAATTGTATTGTCTGTATTTAGGCATTGCATAAAAAATGTATTGATCGTTATAGAGATTATTGCAAAGGGAATTTTGCCAATCTTCCCAAAAATGATAATTACATATTTTTGTATTTTGGATATCACCTTAAAAATGCTGATATGCTAGAAGAATTTCCCCAGTGGTTTTTAAATTTAAAGTTTATTGAATCAAAAATATGTGTAACTGGTCCTGCTGATTTATTAGCAGATTTGAAGAAGTACAAAATATATATTGTTGTACAGGTGACATTTTTTATATAATTATACTAATAATATTATTATTTTTTAATTTTACCATTACCTAAAAAAATAAATATTTTTAGAGTATTTATGATGAATATATTAAAGAAATTGAAAACTTTGTCAAACGCTTTGGACCTAATTTATATCGAACTAAGTGTGATATTGTCCAGCTAGGCCTTCAAGAACCAGAAACTTCTTTTATATATAATGAATCATATAAACTTGCCAAAGCTAGTACAAAATTATATTTTTACTATGAGTGAGTTTAAATTTTATTATTATGTGGTAAACAACATTCATACAAATAATTATTATTTTTAGTATTCGACCTTCTCAAAATTTTCATCCAGAACCTCATATATCTATTGTCAGAGATAAAATTGAAACAGTTATTTTTGGAAATCGACATGATGAGGTTTTAATTGCTACTAATAGTGGAATTATAAAAGTAAACAATTATTTAAGAACTATATAATCATGTTTTGTGAAAAATTAAATAAAATCATATTTATTATTTCTTAATTAAAATGTTACAGTTATGGAATATTATCTCTGATAAATGTTTGCATACTTATAATGGTCACACTAAAACAGTTACTCATTTGGTTAAGAATAAATTAAAAAATCTTTTTTTGTCAACATCTGATGATTCAACCATACGTATTTGGAATATGAACAGTTTCCCTGAATCTGAAAGTATATTATTTTAATTTATTAATATTAATATTATATTTAATTTTTAATTTATTTTAAGGTTCTGAAACGCGGACACCATCACCTGAATCTAGACAAGAACATTGGCAAAATGTATACCATCAAGATTTTAAAAGATCAACTGAAAATACCAATACTGATTGTGTTTTTGTGTTAGAACACGATTCACCTGTCATTTTTGCTCAATTTTCTCCATATGATGATACACTAATTGTTTCATCCTCTACTGATAAAACTTTAAAGGTGATTTATATTTAAGATATTATTTTAATAATATTTTACTAATTAATTAATTAATTTGAAGTGGAGAATAACAGTACTATTTACTATTCTTATTATTTGTTGTTTAAATAACTGTGGTTATATGTATACTTTTTATATTTTATTCTTAAATATAATATTAATTATTATATGAAAAATAGATATGGAAAATGAGAGATGGAAATTATACAATTCTAAAGTCAATCACGCATAATAGTATCATCAGTAGATGTTATTTTATAGAAAATATGACACGTGAAGCTAGAATACTGTTTTCAACACTTGTAGATGGTCCAATTATAACTAGTGGAATATATAAATGTGAATGGCCTTTTGACCACTGTACTGGATTATTTTACTTCAAAGAAAAATTATTATCATTTTTCTATCTACCTAGTTCAGAAGGTTAATATAATGAGTTGTTTAAAATAAATTTTAACTAAATAAAAAAATCACATTGTTTATAGGACAAGATAAAATGCTGGTTATGACACCAAATTTAGTGCGAAGTTATGAATTTAACTGGGAAGATGAAAATAAAACTTCACCACCATCATTAGTTTACCCTACACCAATAGGTTACCGGCATTACAAATTGTCTTCTATTTCTGAGGAGAATACAATTAATAATTTTCGGTATATAGCGTTCAGTTTGAGTAATAGTACAATAAAAATTTGTGATTTATCCAATGGGTACAATTTTCTAGATTTGTATAATTCTAATGAGTAAGTATCGGTATTAGGTTTGTTTAAAATTGTGTTTATTTAAATTTTTACATTACAGAGGCATATCACACTTGGACTGGTTTTGGTCTAGAACTGATCAGAGTAACTGGTTACTTAGTGCTGCTAACAAATCTATTAGATTATGGCGTCTAAAAGATATTACTCAATATGCTTGTGCTCATCGAACAAATGCTACAAATGAATTCAACCACGATTTTGAAAATATGTGCAAAAATGAAATCTTATCTCTTCAAAACTATAAATTGTTTTCTGAAGATCAAAATTTATATTGTTATAAACTCCAGCGAAATTTTGATGCTGTTTGGATAGACAATGATTCAGTATTAGTTGCAGCTGTTACTAAATGTGGGACATTAAAGGTAATTTAATGGTTTTCTAATTATAAAACAAAATTAAATAATGTTGTTAAATATTTAAATATTTTTTACTGTTTAGACATAGGCATGTCTGCARTAGCAGCTTAAGGTAGCACTTATGGGCAGTCCCCTTCTTTTAAGTTGATTTAAAACTTTTATCTAAAAAAAAAAAATGTTATGTAGATTTATAAAAAAGTTTGACAAAATTAAATAGATAGTATTGTTATTTTATTAATAACACATATTTTATAATTGATGGTTCTTAACACAAATAGCAATATGATATATATTATGTTGGTAACTGGTATAATTTAAATAAATTATTTTAAAAACTATTCAAGGCAGATAATTATCATAGGATACATCCCATAAACATTGTGTGGTGTTTTTWWTTTTTTTTTTATTTTTAAAGCTCTCAATATAAAATTATTACAGCTTGACAATTAAAACTAAAGATACATTAATAAGAAACGATTGTGTGGTGTTATGGTGCCGAAATTCCGACCCCACTTGATTTTGGAAATACTGATACTTTAAACTTTAAAGACAGGCAACAGTAGGGTTCTTATCTATTATTGGATATTGTTGCATTGTTTTTTGATTTATAGCTAGTTTGTGTAATTATTTTTGTATAACTTATGTCATGTTGGTGAATAAACGATATGGGAATGAGTGACAGATGGCAGTATTGTGAAAAATAAAAGGTGGTGTAATCTTTGGTTGTACATAAATAATGTATTTAATATWAAATTTAAACCTTAAAGGTACCTAGAATGCTGCAGATTATTAATTAAAAATAGATGATACAGACTTGTTTTTTAATTTTTTTTAATATTTYATTAGAATATGGTCTTGGTTAGTTCGGTGTTGCATTTTTTTCAGTTCGTTAAGATAGTGTCAATCATTAACTAGGCTGCTAATGCAGATGAAGTCTAATTATCTATATTTATTCTGGTACAGGTAGATAAAATGCAATTATTTTCTATGTGTGTATAATTGTTAGATAAAAATGCATATTATAGGATGCATTMAATTTGTTTTGAAGTATACAAATTATGTAATCACTTGTAAAATCAACTTGGATTTTTGTGCATCTGATTGATTAGATATACCCCAAACAGTGCAGTTTATTTACATTAATTGTTTTAACAAATTACTAATTTTCACAAGTTATAATATTATCTTTTACACTATCGTATAATTTTTTGAAATTCTATATAAAACGAAAATCTACAAAAATAAAACTGTATAGTCTGAAGTAGTATAATATATAACTACATATAACTTACTAAATTATAAAAAAAAACATTGTTTTAATTTTGGTTTTAAAACATAATTTATAAATTCAAATACCCATGAAATTAATTTTSTACTTACTATATAATTTATTTTTTGTGTAGATACTTTTTGAAGGCTTGAATCGATGGTCTATGATTGATGAAAGAGTGTTAGCTTTAACCATAGTACAGTCACATCAATCTTTTGATCAAAGAATGATAATTGCTGCTTGTCAAGATTTATCCGTATACTGTATGAAATTTCAAACATCAGAATATTTATTTAAAACTTCACAATTGGTAGAACAAATTTTTGCTCATTTTGACTGTGATGAATTGACCATAGCATTTTTACTAAAACAAAATATAAAAATAAATGAAAAAAAAATTGATCAAGCTATAGAGGTAAAATAAATATATGTTTAGGCTTAATAAAATGCTTATTTATTATTTTTTTATTTTTAGGTTTGGTCAAATAAAACGAAATACGAAGTGATTGTTCATGATCTAATTAATTGTTTTGTGTTTCATGATAAAGTCATCTTTCTGTACAATGTTCATGACATTTATGTAATTATATAAATATTAATTAATTTAATTTCCATATATTTTTAATGTTGTTAATATGAGTAGTTTATATGAATATGTTAAAATTATACATAATATGTTATAATTCAACTATTTCAATGTTATGTCCTTTAAACAGATATTAAATTTACGGGATAAATCTACAATAAAATTGGAAATTAATTGTATTAAAATAAATGGAAGCTTGATGCTTGATTCATCAAAATTAGCTGTGGTCGACAATGGCAACTATTTGAAAATATATCAATTAACATTAGATTGGGGTTTAAATCTGATTTACCAGTATCCATTACCATTATTAGAACATGAAGTCGCACCCATCAGTATATCAAACAACAAGAGGTTTATTGCTATTGGTGGAGAAAAGCGTATTGTTGTAAGTATAATAATTTTATAACCTATATTGAATATAATTTAATATTAAACCTTTTTTTCTTAGTGTATCGATAAAAAATTAAATACTCATAAATGTTTTACATTTGATCCAAGTGTGAATAATATAAAATCAATGATTTGGTCGTCAGATGATACACGGATAGCAATAAAAGAAGATAATCAAATAATTACTCTTGATGTTGAGTCTGGTATAATACTAGCAAGTGTGAAATTAACAGTTGATAAGTTTTTTGCAAATCCTATATTAAATAAATATATTGCAGTAAATACCACTGGGCAGTTAGTAAAGTTGAATTTACCTAGTGATAGCTAAAACAATGCATTTATCTAACTCTCAGTATTAAATTATTATTGCATGCACTAAAATCATTTTTTATATATTTGGACAATTAAATATATGAAAATTATCTGGTTACTCATTGGGCGTGTTAAAAATGTAATAATACATACATAGCTGAGAAAAAAAACATTATATAAAATAAGTCCATATCAATTGTTTTACTTAAGTCTAAAATGGTGCTATAAATGTGAACAATTAGATAATACACTAATACACAATTATTAAATGTAATAATTTTATTGTTGATCATTTAATGAAATGTTTATATTTTCAATAGTTTTCTTCTTTATTTAGAACAGTTTTCAAAATATACCTATATATTTTCCCAAATAGCTTTCATTTTTTTCACAAATATTTCAAATGATGGCTACCTGAAATAATAATTTAGTACTTAAAAAAAATGTTTAATATTGAATATTGTTTGCTTTAAAAGTAATTAGAGACAATAATAGAATACTAACGTTTATTTTAATGACTGATCAAAAACAATTTTTTCGCTATGTAAAACAGGTAAACTTAGTATAGATATTTTATTACAATTTAATGAAAAAATTGTAAATCCAAAATTTATACTAATATTATGTTAATTTATAATTAACATCTWACACTTGCTAGTTTATATGTACTTACTTAAAAATTTATAACCTTAAAAGTACAAAATAATAGTACAATTAAAATAGTTCAAATATACTTATAATAGTTTTTTTTTGTTTAAACATTAATTAGTTAATTTTTATACTTAATTGTACTTGTAATCAATGATCTTTAAATGCATTTATATATATGAACAAATTATGATTGTTTTAAAAAAAAATTGTAATTACTAATTTAATATATATTTAGAAAATGTGATATTTATATTGATATTTTGTCCTGGTATTTAATATAATATAAATATTATATCAAAAAAACTGTATTTTAATCCAGGATAATAATTATTGTTAATAATATTTTTGATACTTTTGTATATTGTTATTTTATTATTTATATTTTTGTAACATTACACAGTGTTTAACAAAAATTTACAAATTTAAAATGACTGGATAATTAATTTATTTTATTTCTTCCGTCTTTTTTGAATTAGTGAATTTTTGTTTAAATTTTAATCTTGTTTTATACAATATTACAATTTACAGGTAAAATTCTGATTATACCTTTTGTTTTTTTAATTAAATATAAAGTATATCTACTTTAATTTTTACTGTTAGTTTAACATTTTAATCGAAAAAACTGATTTATTTATAGTATTTGTAATATATATTTATATTTGCTCAAATTGTTTTGATACCTTATTTGCTTATTTATAAAAATTGCAACATTTTATTGTTTCATCACATTTATTATATAATTTATTATAATATTGTGAATTTTATGCTTCTGGTTGGTGTTTTTTATTGATTACTATTAATGATTATAATGAAATATTGACGCGTTTAAGGGCAGCTGCCACCTTAGTATTTTATTTGTAATCACTAATCTTAATGCATAAATAAGACTTGTTTATGTTATATTRGCAACTGGATAGATAAATAATCTGAAGGACACGCGCTACAATAATAATAATTTCATAGCATGTTAAATGAACGCAAATAATATACAAGGTGATTTTTTCAACAACAATTTTCTATTCCAACTTTTAATATTTTAATAAAATTTACTATTTTTTTTCTTTTAATAACTATTTTCTTAATCTAATTAAGTTTTTAAATTATTTTTCAGTAGTAAAAATATATTTAATATTGAAGTAATGTATATTTAATTATTATACATTTTAATCATTTTAAAATAAAGTTAAGAAAAAAAATTGCTTGGTTATCCCTAGGGAGTTGGAGTCTAGTGTAYGTATACACGCATACTTAGAAAATTATAAGTTTATAACTAATTTGTTCAATATATGAATATAATATGTTGAGACATTTAATATTTTTAAATTTTAAATTCTGCAGAAACATTATAAAGTTGAAAACGTTGATTGCTATTTAAATATCTAAGAAATTGAAAATAATAGTTTTTAACAAAATTGATTGTTATGTAAAATTACATAATKTATTAAACTATATAGTGTATTAATCATCACATTTTCTGAGACATTTTTATTGTCATCGTCAAGAATCATCAGCATTTAATATAGAAAGTTTGAATGTTGAATTGTTGATGATGACAAAATTGAACACTTTTCTGTTATGCTCATAGCAGGCACAGATCCAAGAATATTTTATTGGTTGGCCAATAAATATAACCTCAAAAATTATTACAGATAACACAGTTAAGTTTTAATTWAATAAAGAATATTTTTTATCTAGTTATTTTAATATTAATTAATTTTATTTATGCTGATAATTTATGTAGTTATATGTGTGACTTTCAGTGTATRATTAATATAGATGGAATATTGTCATATTAAATAAATGTGAAAATATAAAATACTATAATAAATATTTTTAACAGTATTTATTTTGGATGAAAATACTTATAAACAAAATAATTATTAATTTTTGTTGAAATTTCGGATGGATCTGTGGCAGGCTCATAGGTTTTATACTTTTAAAGTCTAACGGTTCGAAATAATCACTGTATTTACTATTTAGTTTTATATATTATTATGTTTGTACATTGTTTGGTTATTTGGTATGTCAACCACAACTTACACGTCAACGACCATAGTGTCCTCCAATTAACACACTGTTGACGAGACTAAGAGAAAGTCATAGTATAACAAGATTAACAATATATAGTTAAATAGTAGTTCCTTATGTCCTTACCTACAGGCTACAGTGGCTACAAATTACAATATATATAATACTATAAAATTATAGGTAATGCCTAAAGTAATGGTAATTGTTATTAGATATAGAAACCGAAAAATTAGTTAAATAGTTTTGTGGTCGGCCGGTTGGCGGAACGTTTTCGATAACAATAGGTCACAAACCTTTCGAAATACTCAAATACTTATTTAACAGTCAATACGCAATACCAATGCGTATTATTATATTTTCTGTTTACTTATATTATATTCTTTATCGAATTTTATAATCTTATATTATAATTTTACTAATTATTTACCGTTGTATTATGTATACTGTATACTCAGTGTATAGTGATTAGTGGTACTGTTAATCATTAAAGTACCACTTAGTCTGTTGTCGGTGATTACTGATGTCTATCAATTAAAAATGTTATTAGTAATAACTTATTAAAATATTAAGTTGATTTACAAAATATTTATTATAGGTAGTGTAATTAAAATTAAAAACTAACGAGCTATAAGTAGGTATTGGTAACCTATAACAGTATAACATGTCGATTATATATTACATTATGGCCGATCGAGGTTTTCTTTAAATACTTATTTCTTTTCTAATTGGTATATTTTAATTTTTTGTTTTCGTAAATTATTTTACATCCTACTGATGGTATTTATTTTAATTCACATTATTATAAGACTATAAGAGGCTCACAATAACCTAACCTCATTTGTAAACACAAACATAACTCACGTGAACCACATAACCCGTTAACCGATGTCCTTTTGGACACGGTGTCTCTTCACGCACCTCTTACGAGACAAAACAGAAATAATAGATAATGCGATGAAATAATTCATATAATTTTATACTAAATAACTATTAAGTTCAAACAATATATTTGGTAAAGGGGATTTTCTTTAATTTTAATTAGTGTGTATACAATACTATACATATATATATATATATATATACAGGTATGATTTTCAAATTGGTATTTTTTTTTTTATATTAAACATAACTAATAAGCTTAAACCATTTTCAGACTTAAACTACAAACAATACCGTTCACGTCCGGAATATTACGATTCATGGACAAACAACAAACACAACACTCAGGTATCTACTACGAAAATCGAGGACCTCTAAAACTTATAACATCTCGATGGGGTCTTACGGCATACACTAACCTTATTACTCTATTAGATACAACGAACAGTTCAAATATATAAGCTCGATATTAGATCAAACGCGTGCATTATGCATAATTCCCGCKCATAGCGTTGAGCCGTAGAAGGTAGTTGTAGAAACTATTTTCCGGCTAATAAAATAATACAAAGTCTAAAAATTAAAAGAAATCAAAGGTATAATTGCAGTTTAGCTCCCAAGCGATTTTTTCGATTTTTTTTATTGAAACATATGTATTTCAACGAGTTTAGAACGATGGTGCAAAAATTAGTTAGTGCTGACGATTATTTTGGAAGTTATAGCCTTCCAAAGTATGCGGTTGTATGACAAATAGTACGTATYGCAGCGTGCGGCGCGCTTATCATATAACACAACAGCTGTTGACTTATGTTACTCTTAAGGGTCTTAAGTCTCTAACTGGCCATCGAGTATGGCGACCGAAGCCGGTAGGCGGAGGGAGGTCCCTTGAGTTTGGCGACCGGAGTCGTCAGCCGAAGGGAGCCACTATACTTGTGTCACTTTTACTAACAAGGTTAAATTTACTTGTTAGGTCATTCGCCTGCCCAAGGTCAGGTTTGCAATTTCAGCCCCGGGGGGTTTGGGGGCCGAGCTCCCATCTAACGAGAGGTCCGGAGGACCTCGAGTTTGGCGACCGGAGCCGGTAGGCGAAGTGAGCCACTTTACTTGATAATTTTGTTATTTAACTCTTAGCTCTGTTTTTACCTTGAAATTTAAGTAAAATCATTAGAATGCGAGAGTACTTCATGAAACACATCACATAATCTACTTAGTTAATATAATTATAATTCTAAAAAAAAAAAAAAATTAAAACGTCGTAATACGCATGCGGCGCGCGATAAAAAAAACGTAAAATCGCATACTTTGAATTTGAAAGGCTATAACTTTCAAAATAATGGTTTGCACCATCGTTCTTAACTCGTTGAAATACATATGTTTCAATAAAAAAAATCGCTTGGGAGCTAAACTGCAATTGTTCCAAATCAAATATTAGACTCAATAAGACATCTAGTAACCAAAAGAAACGCTATAACAGGAATAATTACTAATGCCGCGAGATTAATATACGGAATATGTAATTTAGAATGTGTTAAAAAAATTAACTTTAATATTGGACTTTCA